CAGCATGATTCTCTTGGCGATTGTGCACACGTTAATAAGTCTGAGATGGATGGATGGAGACGACCAGCTCTGATCCTCTCTCGCTCTCTTGCTCTAACATAAGTATAGTTTCTCACTCTCACTCGGCCTACATGTTGTTTCTCATCTGTCTTTCTCTTAGTATCCTTCTTCTGCTGACTGCCCTCCTTTTATTGCTCTCTGTTAGTGGAGATTACTTTGCATTTTTCATGCTCTTTTCTCTCATCATTTTTTATTTTACTGTTCTGGCATCTGTCCCAGTTTATTAACAAAAACATATTTCAGCTTCTTTTCTCAACACTTCTCCCAGCACTAGTTTTTCTTTATGCCACAGACAATAGGATGCCACACAGATAATTGTCCAGCACCTCTGGTGGAGCTTGACAGCGGTAATCTTTTATAAACTGATGCAAGATATTGATTAGTGGATGATATAAGATCATTTACACATTCATACAGACATTATTTCAATACTACTGTCACGATCCTGTCTGTGTGTCTTGTTGGGGAGTCTGGGTTTTGGTTCCATGTCTTTGTTCCTAGTCCTGAGTCTTAGTTCATATCTTAGTTTTTACTTCTAGTTTAGTGTGCTCTGTCTTCTGTGTTCTAGTTCTGTGTTCCCGTTTAGGTTTTGTCTGTTATGATCACTGTGTTATAGTTGGTCTGTTTACATGGGTTTCTGTTATTGCCCCCCCCTCCCCCGGCGTCTCTCGGCCGGCCTGTCTCGTTAGTCCTAATTCGCCTCACTTGTGTTTCTCCCGCCTGCTCGTTAGTCCCTGGTGTTAAATGTTTGCTGTTTCTGTTCACTCTCTGTCTGGTCATTACAGTGTGTTGTGGGGTTTTTTTTTAGCCTGCCATGAGCAGTCTTCTGTGTACAGTGTCAGCCTTGGATGTCTGCCTGAACCTTGGATCTGCGTTTACCCCGTGCCTCATTTTTTGGATTTATCACTGAACTCAGCCACTGCCTGTAAGTGCGCCCGCCGTTCGTTTGTAAAGGTTACACACTCTAACCATTCATCTTCTGTGTTGACAAGACACAGGTCACTGCACATGGATGTTGTTCATCAAGAAATAGTTCCAGCAGATAACAAATTGGTTTTTTTTGACATTTCAGTTTGTGTCCAGATTAAACAAATGTCTAAATGTGTTAATGATGTTTAGAGGTGCTGTTTGGTGCATTCTTTAGCCTTGGACATGCACAGGCTAGCCATGTGCTCCCAGACCTTCTGGGCCTAGCCCCGTACTTAACGCAAAGACATGAGAGCAGTATTGATTGTTTCAGAAAGAAAGCAAATGAGTGCATTTCCCAAAATGTCAGACTACTCCAGTAAATTTTTTTGCTGGACACATACACGGCCTTCACAGCTTCAGTCAGATGATGTTGATTGCTCTACTGTAGGGTGAGTGTCTCTCTAACCTTTGACTCCATGTTCTTAATAACTGTCGGAGAGGCTCAGACTGGTTCTGCTGTTCTGCAGGAATGACTTATGTGGTGTAACGTCTGTGTGTCAGTTATGATTGATTAGTCTTGTCAGAATGAACAAGCTGCTCTGCTCTGTCTGCTGTCACTGATGCCGCCTCCATCTACTGTTCTTTCATTCAAGCTTCACCTTTTTTATTTGTAGTTTTATCATTTCTTTATTCAGTATAATTTTGTCGTTATTATTTTCAGGCTCTCTCCATCTTCTTTTTTTTGTTTTTTTTTTTTTATCCACCCAGTGTTTCGACTTACCTCTCAGAACACTTTGGTGTTTCTCTTTCACAATCTGTACATTTTCATGCATCTGTTCAAGTCTTTTTTATCTTAAATTTCTTTAAAGAACTTACACTTTGCAATTTCTCTTCTTTCTGTTCAGTCATCTCACCCCCCTTCATTACCTTCTTCCTGCTGTCCATCCTCCTCTTCCTCTGTTTCCTCCCCCCCCCCAGCTGATCTCAGACTCCCTGAGCTTGTTACTCACTGGGCTGAACCATTTCAGTTTCCCTTTCTTTCCTTCTAAACCCTGCAATTGGCCTATTACCCAATTTCTCTGTTTCTCTCAGCTCAGTGGAGGAGGAATTTACATCAGTGCTGTTACACTGACTGGACATGAAACAATGTCAGATTCAGTACTCCTTGTCTCTCTGTCTCAGATCACCTGGGATTTTTTGTTTTTGGCGTGTGTGCTTACTGCCACAGCCGAGAATGAGAAGGTATTTACGTCAAACATGATGTCAGTGTTTTTAACAAAATTATAGACTTTTGCTAGTGCTCCCTAGAGACTACAGTGTTCATTAAAGCCAGAAAATCAAAGTGTTGGACAAGGCAAACAACATATTGGTCATGTCACTGTTCTTGGAGTCTTACCAGTAGTGGAGCAGATGTTTGTCCTGAAGCTGATGCTTGAGGAAAAGTCCCTGAGTATTTAAATCAAGACACTTTCCTTTTACGGAGCAGAAATGTGATCAAGAAATTTCATGGTAATTATTCCATTAGATTACAAAAGACTTTGTCATGGCACTTGACAAAAGAACAGGGAGTGTCAAACATGAAAAGGGCTCATCTGTGAAGCATTTTGTGGAAACGGCACAATTCTTTGTGGGGTTTTTTTGTTTTTTACTTCAATGTGTACAAACGTCATGAAAATTTCAGAATGTTTTTGTGTTGCTCTGCATATTTGGATGAAATTCAATAATTTTCCTGAATTATTCCTCAAGACCTTCGTAATATAATTCATCCTGTAAAAACAGATAGTCCAGGGAAAACCCTGTTAGCCTAGAGATTAGAGGCACCTACTATGAGCCACAATGTCACTGGTTTGAATTGAGTAATGTAATTGGCACGGCAGACATTCACATTGTAAGAATTTTGTGTCATTTAAAACTTAAAGAGGTAGTATTCTGCTCATTTTCAGGTACAAAATCTTATTTAGGGGTTGTACCAGAACAGGTTTACGTGGTTTAATTTTCAAAATACACCATATTTTTCTCATACTGCTCATTTCTGCAGCTCCTCTTTTCTCCCTGTGTGTTGTACGCTCCGCTCTTGAGCTACAGAGTGACGCATCTTACTTGTACAAAATCTTTGTTGGGAGTTGCACATGTGCAGTCCCCAGGTAAGGACCACAAGCCAATCAGAAGCAGAGAAGGGCGGGTCGTAAGAAACAAGGTAGTGTAGCTGCTTCAGACTGCGACCGTAACCTAGCAGATGGTATAAGTTACTCACAAGTTCACAACATCATTGTTCCACATCTTACCATAGACCACCTATAAAAATCACCATATTTCAACTCAATTTTACAAAAAATTGGCCAAACTATTTGAACGTTTGCTCAGTAGCTTTCACATCGGGTGTAACATTAGCATTATAGCTATAACTTTAGCTGTGTTAGCCAACGTTTACAACAACTCTGCACTTCAACAGTCTGAAGTTACATTGCTGTGTTTATTTTAAATATAATTCACAACCAATAAAGCCTACTTACAGGTTGTGAATTTCCATGCCCAAACAGAGTCGGAGTTGCATCGTCTTTTAGGACTAAACGTTGAACTGTTGCCGGTGTTCTGACGATCTCTGCTGCCTTTGCCAAAAAATGCTACCATAGCGCAAATCAATACTCGACTCTACTCGGCCCTGCTTCGTTTTCATTGCAGATAGTACCCAGTGATAGTACGTAGCTTCTCGTCAGAAACGCCGCACATAACTGCCGCAACGTAATGTTGAATGCGACACACACACCAGCGATCCACACAGCTTTCTCTTTTTTAAGTTAAAACCTTTCAACATTCCTCAGAATGTAAAGACAGATAAGCGGTATGAAAACCTTCCAGCTGTGTTTTCCTCTGCCGTTGTTGCTGCAGCGGTCTGTGTGACGGCGGGAGCAGAGGGCTCTGTGAGCGGGCGGCTGGCCGGCTTCACACGCTCCTCCCCACGGGTCACAGCAGGCTTCCCCCGCAGCCACTTGCAAATAACCTCAACTCTGAAAATATTCAATCACTTCTCGTAAAACTGTCAATATTGGAAATCTACACAGCTGATTTCTCACCTCAAAACTTCTCAGAAGTGGATTTAGTGATGAAATTCCATATAAAAACTGTAAAATATAAAACTTTCTGTTGCTGGCCTCTGTCTGGCGCACGCAATGTTGATGCAGTGAATAGTGAATATTCTCTCTGACCAATCAGGGATCGGTCGTGTTTTCACGTTACATTTTAGTATCCCTCAGCTCGCTTGGAACCTCGACGGAGGTGATACGAAAAAAGGTGCAACACTTCTACAATGGAAACCCAGACAAAGGGCCTCCGCTCAGACTGGCTTGGTTTGAGGGCGTCCCTGAGCCCGCTAGCCGCTTGGCAAGCTTCATGACGCGTTTTCATTGTGACATCACAAGTAAAGGAAGTGAAGGGCTGGACTACAAACGACCTGTTTTCAAGCGTCAGTGACCTTCTTCGTCATAGTCGAATCACCTTCATTGTCATGGTAACAATAACAAACGTGGTTAACATTGTGAAACTGTCACAATTTGAACAAGCTACTTTTGGTTAAGGAAAAATCAAGGTTTGGGTTCAAATGCTACATTAGTTACATCAGTTATGTTTGTAAGTTACGTTACGAATGTTGCATAGGTTAAATACTTTACTTATCAAATAAGTTAATGTTTGGTTTCACACGGGTCACAAACAGGGGGGCTCCTGGGAGCAACTTGTTGGACCTAACATACGCCATTTGATGACACCAGGCTGAAGACGCATACCCTGACACTTTTGATCTATTGGTTCTAATGCTGAGAATTTCTAGCCTTATGTTGCCTCGGTGCCCCTGTGTGGGGTAATTATGGTCTCTTTCTGCAGGTAATGTTACCCAGCAAAGAATTTCTGAATGTAGTTGTGCCTCGATAATTGCTGTTAAGTTTTTCACACGCCTTACTTTAGACAAGCAGACATGAGCTGACACATTTGTTATGTGACTCAAAGAAAGACCAGTGAACACTTCATACATCTCATTTCACTTCATTTAATTGTATTTTACTCTGCATTTTTTCACATTTTCACTACTTAAAATGTCTGCACAAGGCTTTGTACACTACACCACTTTAAATTCAAGAATTGTGTCCAGTAATTCACAACGTTCAATAATTAATTCATGCATTTAAATAATCAGCATTAATATCTCATTTGACATGGGTCCAACACAACCAGCTGTCTCTGAAGCCCGAACCACACTGTGAACCATCCTGCTGCCAAGGGAAAAAATCCTATAAACAACAAAACTGAATAGACTTACTATTAATATTTAAACATAAGGTTTTAAAAAAGTATAAAAACAGGAAGAAATCCTCAGAGCAGAGATGGCAAGACCAATGTCTGCTTTTCATAGGAGCAGAAAATAGCCCAAAAACAGTCTCAAAAGGCATTCTGGGAAAGTGGTTTACAATGGTGCACCTTTAAATTAAAAGGCAAGTGAGAAGTAAAGCAACTAAATGTCAAGATCGACGAGATCTGACAGCTTGATATTAAAGAGATTATAGAGTTTTTCCTTGAATGCACATAGAGTAGTGGTTTAATACTGAATGTTTAATAGTACAATCTTCCACTGTTTCAGTAATACTCATGATGATTTTGTCAATATACTTCTGCACTATACATTTCTGTACATTTTAATGTCCTCGGAGAATAAAGTCACTTAAATTCTGAGATGTGAAGGGAAAAATCACTCGACTTTCCTTCTGAATCTTCGGAGACGGAGAAGTTTAAGTTCAATGGTTCTTCACAAACAAATCTTGTCAATTCACATACAGATTCTGTTGAGCATTTCAGTGTCGGTACTCCACGCAGAGAAACCGTATCATCACAGATCACAAAGTTTCTTCCCCAGTGATTGGACACTTCAGCTAAGTTCAGAAAGTCAAGTCTGTTGCCTCCCATTACTTTTCCGCAAACTGGACAACAGGATTGTCAGCACTTTGGATGTGTGGGGAGAATAAACACAATGTACCAACTGTATGTTTAGCTGTAAGGTAGCAAAGAACTGTACATGTATTTAGCTGAGTGGCCCCAGAAGCCACCAGGAACGCAATCTTTTCCTACCATTTCCTCCAGTATCTCTTCTTTTATCTTGTTGTACATTTGTGAATGAGATGCATAAAGTTCCTGGATTGGACAACTTTTGCTCAAGATAAAACATTTTTAACTAACCTCAGTTTGCATGACTCTGGGTGAATTTGCATCTTTGTGCCCCCTCATCTTTCCTTTGACTTTATTTGCATTTGCAGCGTATTTAAAATTGACCTTTCATTCTGTCTTAATCTACCAGGACTAGGAGAACCTGTGAGAAAATAGTCTCTTTTGACCAGTCTATCATGGAGCATCTTCATGAGGTCAAAATGGGGGCAGAGAACAAGAACTAACGGTTTCCTTTGACTTTCAAAGCAGTTTCATGCTTTAATATCTTTGCTAAGTTTTAAGAGACGTCATGAAGGTGAGAGGTTGAATAACCTGGTTCCTAACAAGTGTCTTGTTTATGTCAAAGAAGTTTGGTTCGGAGACCTATGTCCTCCTGATCAGGATCCCGTTCAGATTTAAGAAATACAGACATCCAATCCCTTAAGTCATTTGTTCCCAGATTCAACCTTCAGGACTTGTCTTTGAACATGAAAAGTAACTCAACCATTCAGGTTTCTTCAGTTTTTCAGGATTATTCTGATTTTAGTTTTAGGCTTTTGTGGTGCGGCGTCTTGTTGGTCATCTCTACCTTTTCAGGGCTATTCTGACATTTCATCTCCTGCTGAACTTTTTCCTTTACTTCGTTGTATCTTTCTCATTCCACTTGTACTCTCTATCAAAGACACTGCAGGTTACAGTTTTAAGTTTCCATACACAAATGGTCCCAAGTTCCTCCCCTTCTCACTCTTTCTCCAAAGTCCCACTCTCTTCAACGGGATTTTTCCGTTTCATCTTCTTTCCAACTCAAATAAATCTGAAGCTTTAATCTTTTTTGAGTTTGTTTCTTTCCTCATTTCTCCTCTTCTTCCTCTCCGTCTTCAGATCACACCGTGGTCACAGAAAGAAGAGGGTTGTATATTTTCTTTCCGTCTGGCGACCTCGAGCCATGAGCCAGCAGCTCCTGGATGGTGATCCAGTTATCAAGGATGCGACGATTCCTTTTCTTCATGATCTTCTTCTGGCTCAGTAATAGAATATTGTTGCTGGGGGAGTCATGTTGGGGATGAAGGTGGGTAGTCTGGGATGAACCTGGGTCTTCAGCGCCTCCTGTTGATGATAAAGTGTCCCTGGACATAAAACCAAAAAGTGATTTAGCAAACTGTATCTGAAGAAACATCAGCTAAATTTGTAGTTTTACATATTGTACTATATAGACCCTGAAGTAGCCCAGAAGTCCACTAACAAAACATATTCTAAAGCAAGTCCTCAAACCTACATTAAGCTATATTTTTGACATTGACACAATTCTTCCTGTAATTAGATAAACTGCAAAAAATCTACTTGTCAAATATATTTCGGGGGTCAGTGGGATTAAACAAAATATCTTGTCAAGATCTGTTTTTTGTTTTTGTTTTTTTTGCCATCACGTTACGATCTTGTGCGCATAAGTTAAACTCTTCTCTGAACAAAATCATTTCTGAAAATCTTTGAGCAGTAAATCTTGGTTTTCATGACCTAATTTCTGCACTCTTTCTTACAGCCAATTGAAATTATTGATTTCTGTCGGTGTCAGGTTCAAGAACCAGTCACTACTTGTTGTCCCTAGAACGGAGGGGATCGAGCTTTCTCAGTCGCAGCCCCGAGACTGTGGAATGAATTGCCTCTTCATGTCAGACTGGCCCCCAGCTTTCCGGTTTTTAAATCGTGACTTAAAACTCGTTTTTTTTCCCCTTGGCTTTTAATCCAGGATCTGTATGCTGCTGTTATTTCTATTTATTGATTCATGTCAATGTACAGCACTCTGGTCAACCTGGATGTATTTAAATGTGCTAAATAAAGAGAAGATGATTCACTGTTTTCAATCTCAGTGTTATCAGAATTTAGGATTTCCATAAATTAAGTTAGGATTATTTTGTTTTATAAATTTTCACACTGCATGGCAGAGGGAGGTAAGAGTTGTTAACATTAATCTTCACATGTCATGATGTGGTGAACACAGATGGGTAAAGTTGTAGCTCTTCAGTGACCACAAATTAGGTCCTAATGACCCCTAGGTTTAAAAAAAAAAAAAAAAAGCTACGTAAATCAACCTGAAACTAAAATCTATTTAAAATACTTAATGACTCAAACAAAACATACTTTTATACAATTACCATAATATAGTTCTCATAGTGGTCCAACCCCATAACCCAAGCTGAAAAGCTCAACTAAACAGTACCTAATCTTTGCACACAGTCATCTTTTTCTTTATTTGTAATTAAGTTTAAATTTTTTTTTTTTTTTCTCCCTATCAGGACTTGAGGGTTATGGAAGAATAAACCTGTCTGTATTGAGGTTCCCCTATCATTCCATGCCCTTCAGACCACACCCACTGGGAATACTTAAACACAGGGTTTCTTTGTCTTGTCTGTAAGAGGGCCTGTGGGGGGTTGAAAGGAGCTGTTTTAGGCTTCTCTATATTTATCCAATCCAAGTGGGAATCATATTCTGCCCAGTGCCTAGCTAACTTGCTATTTTAAAATACAAAGATTATATATTTCCACTTCTGGGAGTACCATGCCGCCCTTTTCCTAAGGATTACACAGCTTCTTAAAGCTGATCCTCAGCCTTTTCCCATTCTATAGGTTCTCTTTGACAATTAGATTTTATTGTTTAAAACTAAAAGGTATAGAGACCCCAGGGTCTAATAAGTAATCATCTGCATACTGAAGTAATTTGTGTTCACAACCCCCACCCCCATACACCAATAACGTCTTTGTCAGCTCTTAATGCTGCAGCAATGAATCCTTCAAGTATTTTCAGTGCATGTAAGAGGAAAGCCCAAGTTACGGGTTAGCCCTCGTTAAAATTTTGGATTGAACTGGACTTTTTGTACTCTACCTGTCTCCTTTGAGGTAGTCCAGGCGGCTCTGCATCATGAACTCCCGTCTTCGTCTGTACTCTCTGGCTCTCAGCAGCTGCTGCTTCCTCTCCTCTTTGCTCCAGTAGCGTCCCTGTTGGAGCACATTTTAGAAGACGTTCAGCAGTGGATTAATGGGTTTGTCACACTGTACGTGGTCCTGGTTTAGAAATAAGGGATTAAAGTGACTTTGTTCTCAATAAGTTAAGTAAATAATGATAAATTGAGATATAAGTACAGTGCAAAGCGCTTTATAGCGATCACGGTTACAGTGATCAGCTGCGTACATGGATCCAAAAGCTTGGGACAGAATCATTCCTCTCCAAATGCTGTTTAAATGATGTACTTATAGTAATCAAGTAGTCCGCTTACACTGTTACATTTGGGTCTTTTCATACATGATAACATAGGGGGAATATGAATATTGTTTTTCATACTTCAGCTGGGCATTTAGAGCCTCCAGTTTATTTTCAGGTTGTTTAAACATGTAAAAATGCACTGAAACCAGTGCAAGCTGTGGATTAATAGCCAATTTCCACTAATTGTACAGCACAATTCTGATTAAAGCTATATCCTCATTATTATTGGACCTACAGTAAGCTATATTGTGTATATAGAGTACAATATTTATCAAATATATTAAATATTTCATTAAATATGTACATTAATTTGCAAAGCATTTGAAACCGCTGTAGGCTACTGTGTTTTGAAACTGTCACTACAATTCAGTGAATTGCAAAGCTGTCTGTTTCTTTACTTTATTTTCATACAATAATCTACAATTGCAGACTCGCCTGTTTCATCTCGCTGGCAGCATCGTCGTCTGTCGTCATGCCGCTGCGTTCCTCTCTGATCTTCATGGCTCTGGCCTTCAGGAGACGATCCCTTACCGGCCGCTTGGCCACATAACGAGTGCCATCGCTCCGGATCTTTACCTGGACACGAGGAGAAAAAAATCCATTGCCTGTTTTCCAACATCCTGCTAAAAGCGAGCATTTAGAGGTAATCCAGCATGTTTCCTTTAAGCTCTCTGGGGTTTCACTTGGCTTTATGAAGTCGTTGTTCTTGAGCTGCTGCTTGTCCTCAGCTTTCTAGCTCCCTTCTACCCTCAAGGCTTGAAGCTGGATTTAAGGAAATTGTTTTAATTTGATAACTACATGAAGCTGGGTTCCTCAGGCTCAGTTGGAGGGGGTCCTTGAAAATATATTACTGTGTATTACTGTATATACACGTTCAAACTTTTTATGACAAAATATTAATGCACATTAAGGCTGGTTAACATGGCTGAACACAATATCAAGATAGTTTTAAGGTTTTTCTTTCTTTACTCATTCCAGCCTCTCTTCTACACACATAACCACCCATTTCAAACTAGGCACCATAATGTAAAAAGATAATAATACCCAGATATATACAAAATGTTTGCCATTGTAAATATTGAAAAAATGAGTAAATCTGTCTGAGTTCTAGGTTTGATTTTCCTGCAACATAGTTCATTGGCTACTTTTGGCAGCCGACTCACAAATTTTTGGAGTTACAAATAAAATTTATCAAACAATACTGAGGTGACGGTGATAGATTACCAAGAAGGTTCAGTTCATTTCAATCATCATTCTATTTAATATTAGTCAAAGCAGGAGGGTGGCTTGGCTACAAGCACTTGGTTACCTTGACTTGTCTTTATTGTCATCAGTATGATCAACATTTACCTTCCACTCCATGCGTTGTGGTGAGGCAGTTGATGAGTGTGTCAACCCGAGCGGTAAGGCCAGTCCTAACCGCGAGGCACGTGTATGGTGGTCCTCCAGGCCACATGGGGCGCTGTTCACACTTCTGGGACTGGCTGGGCCGCTGCTGCCTGTGCCCATCCCCCTCTCCTCGCCCTCGGCCATCGCTCTGTCTCTGACTCGGTCTAGTGGGTCCACCAGGCCCTCAGATGGCAGGGTCATGCAGCTCTGGTAGCGCTCTAACGGTTTATTGTGGCTGTGGTGTCTTCTGGTGAAATAGGGACTCGACTCTGCGCTTCCTCCTCCAGGTCTGTCAGTGGCTCTAGCTGCAGTGATAACAGTAAAAGGGTAATAGATAGTCAAAAACCAGAACATAAACCATGAACCCACAGTTAGAGGGACAGTGTCTCTTTCTTTTAAGTTTTCTTGTTAACAAACATCTTTATAGTCAGTGTCACCAATATACTGTATGTTGTGTACATCGTTGAGGTCCAACGTTATTGCATTTCCTTCTTCATAAGCATCTGAAAAGCTGATTTTGAAACCAACACTCAAATCATGTTGACATAGCTAGTGTGTACTTCTTCCACCCAGTGTTGTTGACAGATTGCTGTTTCTTGGCTTGTTACGGGCGCCACCAGTCAATCAGCAGAAAACATGAAACCAAGGGACACAATATAGCCTCCTTTCACAACAGACAATGGCAATTTTTGAGGTTAAGTGCAGTTTCACTTATTTTCATATTTATTACGGTGCCCCTAAGGAGATAAATTAGGTTTTCTCTCTTGCCCACCATGGTATTTGTTGTTCATGAGAAACGAGATTGATTTACTCGATTTTGCTAAACTTTCTGGTACAGTGCGATTCACCCTTTGTTGTCATTGAGTGTGGCCAAAAGGCATTTTATCACCCCCCCCCAGTCCAATAATGGTATATTAGTAAAATTTAAGCAAGCAACCTTGCAACATGTGTCTTCAACACACATTTAGCATGGGTCATCTCCTCAGTTGCGATGCTGCTAAATAATGTCCTGCAGACTTTAAGTAAAGCAGTTTGTTGCTTCTGTTACGATGACACGGATCAAAGGTTGAGTGAGTTGGCCATCAAAAATATTGGTGGATCCTCAGCACTTCTTGTCCATGTGTGAATCTTTACTCAAGTGAGACACTGAACCCCAAATGACTCCTAATCAGTGTGTTGGAAAAATGTTGGACACTCGTCTAAGTTTGGATGCGTTTAATAGAGAAAATAAAGGAAGACTCCTGTGGTCTGTCTTTGATTGTAAAATTATCATTTTTTTGTGGCTTTTAAGTGTCCTGCTGCTGGTAATGACACTATTAGGGAACTTTTGCATATAAATGGCTACTTGTGGGCAACTAAAACGGTCGCAGAACTATTCCTTGTGACGAAGAAGCAACATTCACAGACTGGTTTTGTGTGGGTTCATTAAAACACAGTAACAGAACAATTAACACAGAGTTGGCATTTGAAATGCTTCAACTGGAGAAGCACGCATTGTGTACCTGCTCTGGAGCCCCGCCCTCCATCAGCCACACCCCTTCTTGAAGATGACCCCGCCTCTCTGGTCAGAGACCTGATGATGCAAACAAACCCAGATAATATTACATGCAGTTTTACAGAGTTTAAAGTACTAAGATGTGTAGAAAGCAGTGAAAGCAAAACCATGAAGGAGACCTGAACTTGGAGGGTGTAGAAGGGGTGGAGCTTGAGCCATGTGCCATATTTCCACTGGCTGTTTCGTACTTCCTGTAAGTGCTGGGGGAGAAAGAGCTGCTGAGGTTAGAGTGGCGTCTCTCTCTGTCTCGTTCCCGACCGTGACGCCGTGGGGTGAGGGGGGAGTTCAGAGGGGGGAGGCGACTGAGGGGAAGAGGAGGAGGCGGTGACATCAGTCGTCTCCCTCCATCATCTTCCTCTTCTTGTAAAGGCGGGATCTGCTCGGTGCTGACCAACGGCGTGCTCCTGCAGCTCTCCCCTCCGGTGTTGTAGGCGCTGGTGCTATCTTTGTCGTCCGATCGCTCTCTCTCTGGGAGCTCGTTGATGGCTGACAACTCGTGGCGATGAGGGTCGTCGTCATTATCATTATCAAAACCTTGTAAAATAAGGATTTTTTGTTTTTATTCATTTAATTATCATTTTTAAACATCAAGATACTACAATCCACACTTTTTATTTACTTAACATTTGGAGATTCAATCCCAGCTTCACCTTTAACCGGTCAGCAGTTATTTAAAGTAAACAAAGATCCAGGACTCAACAGGACAATCTTTCTGTGTGGTGTCTGCGTGGATTTCCAGTTTCTCCCACCATCAAAAACATGTTCGGTAGGTTCTCCAGTCAGTGCTGTTTGACCAGACACTGCATTTCAATCAGTTGTCCACTGCTCCCTTCAGGGATGGGCTAAATGCAGAGGGTGAATCTCGCTATGTGTGTGTGACAAATAAAGTACTTTCACCTTACCTTAGACAACCTTGATATCCCAAACCACTTACTAAATGTGTTGAAAGAATTGCAGTCTGGATTTTTTTTTTTTCTAGTGCAGGAAGTGTATTAGTTATATAACTTTATTTAATCAAGAAAGCCTCTCTTACAGGAGGAATGGGATGGGTGGCCAAGTTCTTTTACGAAACAGTATTCATGAGGTAGCTTAGTCTGGGTGCACGGTGTGCATACAAAGTGCTGTACCTTTTAACACTGGAGACTGAGGTTTGCATACTGTATATTTAAGCTGCAACAAGTTGCCAAAACAAAACTATGAAAACATTAATCATGCTTTATTTGCCAGGAGTGGAAACTTATCTAAGACTCAATCACTGTAAGTTTCCTAACTATGTTGATTAAAAAAAACTAGTAGTAGTTAAATGTTGTTTTTAGGAGACAGGGTTGGTTGTCTTTCATGGATAGTTCAACATTTTGGAAAATGCACTTCATGTTCTTGCCTAGAACAAGAATCAGAACCCCCGGTAAAACCACAACTTTACAAACATTTCCTCTTAGTTAGAAACGAGATTTCTCAAAAAAAAGAAGTCTTAAAATACATATGAGAATGTATTTCACATTTCCGAGGATACTAAACAAATAAGACAGGATGTCGGATTTGGGAATTTCTTTCACACGTTCCTGTGTCAGTAGTTGTCATGGTTACCTGCTTCTACAGGGCCTGGTCGCCCTGCTCCTGCTGCCACCGTCTCCTCCTCCATCATCCAGGCTTTCAGACATCTCTCTCTGAGCTGCTGCATCTTTTGTGCCCGGAGGATGTTGCGGCACTTGAACTCCAGGTGGCGCAGCTCCTCCTCGATCAACGCCAACTCGTGCTCACTTAACGTCACGTTGCAGTTCACGTCGACCACCAAGGCAGAAGAAGCTTCCACCTCTCCCTCCCTCTCTGCCTCTTTTCTCTCTTCCTGCTCTTTCACCTCTGCTTTGATGTCTTCATGTTCTTTTTTCACTGCTTCTCTTTGCTGTTTTTCGCTATTCCTCTCGTACTGGCACTTGATCTCCAGCAGCTCCTGGTATCGCTGGCACTCCTCCTCCGTCAGGCCCGGCATCATCATCATCAGAGAGGGCTGATGATGGTGGTGGTGGTGGTGGTAGTGCTGCAGGTCAGAGGTCAGACGTTAGAAGCCAGAAACATCAGGAATCACTATCTCTCATAGTTTTGAGTTATTATAATTTAAAACTAGAATTGTACTGGAGGAAAGTGCTGATTAAATACTGTGTGTGTGTGTGTGTGTGATTTATTACAGTAGTCAATCTCCTAATATTTAGTTTCATGTCTCTATCATTTTTAAATAAAACATCCAGCTCTGTGGTGGTGAATACTCGCCAAGTCTTATCTTCCCATTTTTCTCTGAGCTTAAAGTACTTAGTATTTTCATTACTGAATATTCTACTGATGACAGTTTTGGTGTATTAAATGCCAAATACAAGTTACCAGAGCAAATAACTGCATACAGATCAACAGAGTAGCTAGCATTTCAGTAGGCTCTCGGTCTTGTTACATGACTGACAGGAATATTTGTCAAAATGTCTTAACAAAAAAAAAGACAAATGCTGTCCAAACAGCAACCATACTGAAAGGGAACATTTGCTTTTAAAGATGTCTGCATCCCTACAGCTGGTATAATGTTTCATCTCTTTTTATCAAGCAGCACTAAACACAATGGAAGCACTGGTCTTGTTGCTATGAGACGACAGCCCAACTGAAGTGCACCACTCTAGATAACAGCTTAATGGTCTTTCTCAATGCTGAAGTACAGTACATAGGCTACCCCTAGAAGTCCATCTGAGTCATTAGGGACATTATAAGTTGTTAAAGGAAGTCGAGCTATATTGCATTTTTATTTTTTTTTTTTTTTCATCTGTCAACAAATCCCATGAAAAGCCCAAAACAAACAATGTGTTGGTTTATCTCTTAAAACTTTCTGACTTGCTGTCTGTGGTTCAAACCCCGGGTCCAAGCCCACTGGTTCCCACTGAAGATGTATATCTATAAAAACACTTCACAAATATATTGTTTGTTTAAAATAGGCTCTGTAATTTCCAAAAACAGCTGCTCACTGCAGTTTTTAATCAAACGTAACTGTTTACTTGTAAAGACCAATGTGGTCAATAGGAAAATAGAAAATGCCCTAAATCAATAATGTGTTAGTGTATCTTCGTCAATACTTTCTGACTTCCTTAATGTCTGTGGCTCTTGGCTCTGAAAACTAAAGGTTTCACTTTTAAAAAGGCTAAATCGTTTCCAAATCAGCTGGCCACTTTAGTCTTTAACAAATGTTACTCAAACAGAAGGACATAGTGGAATTGTTGGGGACTATTTTCAGTGTTGGATGATTCCATGTGTGGTGCATTAGTGAGTATTTAGGGGCAGCAGGACGTGTCTGTGAGACTGAGTCAGAATAAACTACACTGTGTGATCAAGGTAATAAAAGGTTCTTGGACAACAATGGAGTTTTATGGCTCAGAGGAAGAACAGATATCAGGCTGCGATACATGCACAGTACTTGTTAGAACAATACATGTTTTTATGGAATTTGATGACAATAAATTAAATGTAGAATATCACCAGACTTGTCCTTTTAACAAGACCTCATTTTAAAATACCTTGTGGTGGTGATGGTGGGGGCTGTACGCTGCTCCTCCTGTTCCTACTCCAGCTGTCCAGTCCGGGCCGGGGAGGGAGTCGGAGCTAAGGTGGAGGTCTCGGAGGTGGAGGAAAGGAGGGGTGGTGTCTCCTCGGCCATGCCCGGGGTTGGGGCCGAGGCCGGGGCTGGGTCTTGGACTAGGCCTGGGCATAGGAAACATGGAGGGGTTTGCTGTGGTATACTAAAATCTAAATCATGGTTGAAATCAGTTTAAAGAGTTTAGGATATTTAGCTGTTTTCTTGCTAAATAGTTCTCTACTCAAGATATGACACGGTTGGATTTAATATCTCTGTCCTACCTGGGGCTGGGTCCCGGTCTGAACTTCCTGGTGCTTCCTGGTGTGTTGGTGGTGTTGGTGTTACAGGCACTGGTGTGATCACCCAGCAGGTCGTGTTCGGAGGACTCCTCGTAGCGGGTGCTGTCGTCGGTCCGGCCCACTCCGCTGTCCAGCTCCTGGCTGTTGGACAGCAGAGGAGCCAGGCTCAGCAGAGGAGGGAGGGGTACAGGTGGGTCTCTGTCCTCCTTCTGTCCTCTCTCTCCGTCCTCCCCATCCTCATCCTCTTCCTCCTCCACGTTCACATCACCCCCTGCACCTTCTCTACCTCCTTCTCCTCCCCCCGGGCAGGCCAGTCCTTCTCCTCCTCCTCCTGTTCCTCCCCCCCGGCAAAGGCGATAATAGCCAGAGAGGTGAGAGGAAGTGAGGGAGCAGGAAGAGGTTCGAGGATTTTGGTGGAAGCCGCCTCCTTCCAGAGTCAGCTCCATGTCCTCCTCTGGATCAACGGGGTTGTCATTCTGGAGAGAAAATCATGTTGGAGAGAATTTTTAATACATTTCCAGATTCTTCGATATGCAAATGGCTGATATTTGGCTATATTTAATAACCATGGTAACCTCAAAAAGTTCTAATTGTATTGTAAAAATGTCTTCAGACTGGAACTTATTAGATACACAGGAGTGAAACCGAATGTATACATTTCAGCATGTTATAGCATTAATCTCATAGTACAGCTGATGACAGATCATTAGTGCACTAATCTGCTGGAGAAGTCAGATGAAAAATCAGACAATCACCAAATTCATTAGGATAGACCCTCTGGAGATTGGTTTTATCCAGCAGACAGACTGGACACAGTGCTCCAAGTTGGTGCCCCCGTCATTCCAGTGAACAATGCTTTCTTTAAGGCGTTAGTTTTGGGATCATTGCACATACTCAGTAGAGTCCTCCTCTGGCTGAGCTGCTCAGCTCTCCGAACACATGTATTTTATATTTGGGCCTAATAGCTGAGAATAGTTTTGGAGTGTTTGATTCTTTCAGGGTCCTAGCGAGTCCCGTTATGTGCAATTTCAACTATTGGCTTTGTGTCAGAAATGCTGCACAGCCTGACTGTTTCTGACGTCCAATGCCAGCAGCGTGGCTAAAGCTGAAAGACATGGCAAAGACATAAACCCCTGCGTATTATATCAAAATGAGATCGGTGTGGTGTGACATTTCACATTTGATAGAAGCTTTGTTATGAGAACCCTGAAGACCGTCATGTTTTTTGCCTGAGTGCACTGATTGTTTTGTTGTTGCAGAGGAAAACGTGCACAAACACAGGAGAGGAGGCAGAGAAAGAACCTGAGAGTCCAACTCAAGCAGTCACACATCACTGAGTGCAGGGATTTAAAAGTTGAGTTACTGCAGCAAAATAAATCACCAGTACTATTCCAGTCAGTTTCTCAGTTCTGTTCTGTTTTAATAGGATTGTTGAATATGAGCAGCTCTTCCAATTTGTTGCTGTTGGCAATAAGAACATCTCTTGTATTAAATTCAGGTCATTAGAATATTATTTATTGAGTGTAAACTGAGTGGTTTCTTCTTTAGAGGCTCGTGTGTCAGTGTTATTAAACAGAACAGAAGTTGTGGGTTCTCTGTTTTGTCTTCATGTCTCCACATGACTTGTCTTATTCTTAATCTTAAAGGGAAAGGATCATTCTGGTGATATACTATACTTTTCTAATTGTCAGTAAATCCCATGTGCAGATCCAAACCAACTATTAATGTATCTACCTACAAGCACTGTGTGCCCATCACAACCTGATGTCTCGTCTTCATCAGTGGGCTTGGAGCAGAGAGCCACAGACAGAGTAGGAAAGTCAAAGTATTGACGGAGACGGACGAACACGTTGTTGATCGAAGGCTTTTTCTATTTTCTTATTGTCAATAAGAAATATCACTTAGACTTTGTGTTAAAGTTGTGCACTTAGTTGTGATATTATGCCAGTATTGGTCTTCACAAGTAAACGTGTGTGTGTGTGTGTGTGTGTGTGTGTGTGTGAACAGATCAATCTTCTCTTGTATCTGTACTTGTGTGATATACGTGAGCGTGTCTGACCTCGAGGGAAGAAACTAGGTCACATGGGATATATTTCTACCCCTCCATTTCATCCATCATCCCTTCATCCCTGCATCGTTTCATCTGATACCTTAACCTCTGTCTCCTCTCTGTAGACTTCACAGCAGGTTGTTAGAAAGTAAATTCTGTTTCTCTGCTACAATAAAGATTTTACCATCTATATAAAATCACAAAACCACTACCAACAGTATTTGCATTTTACTGCATGAATGCACTTTAATTTTACAAGGTGTAATATCTATTTTTCACTGAGAAATCCACTGACAGTATAATTAGAACATTTCAAGCTCCACTTAGTAGCTTTTTCCAGAGCTTTTAATTGAACATTACAGTCTTGTAAAAGGCTATTAAGTGGATCTTGAATGAAGATGTTTTTTGAACTATTTCCGAGGTAAAAAATTAAACGTTCACTATCAGGACATTATTGGTCTAAGACTTAAAGCCTAGCTAGAGTCTGCAGAGTTCATCACACTCCAAATACATGTATAGCAATATTATATTATATAGCTGCAGTACCAGAGGCTGCAGTTTCATGGCCGTAGTTATTTTGCGACAGCGCAGTCTAGTGGATTGGTGGTGGTAATGCCCAGCAACACAAAGGAGGTCCACCCCGTCTGCTAGCACGTCGGCCGTGAGGCCAATATGCACAGCTGTACGAGTAGTATGTAGTACCGGAGGCTGCAGTTTCAGGACCCCAATCCTAGGACCGGAACTGCATTTCTAGGACCCTTGTTTCCTTTGATACTGACGGCTGGCTGGCTGGTTGGCTAGCTATGTTACTCTTGACAGCCCCCTGAAGCCAACTACCCTTACCACAACCATCACCGAGTGTGTGCCTAAACTTAGGTTATTGAGTATATGCATGTCAGCTGTAGGGTTAACAAAACTTCTTCATGTTGCTGTGCATCACAACCACCACTCCACTAGATGGCGATGTCGCCTAAGAATTACGGTCCTAGAACTGCGGGCCCTAGGATTGCGGGGCTCCTGAAACTGCAGCCTCCGGTCGTGCAGCGACATAATATTGATAGAGGCTGACAATATATTTCAAGTTCGTCCTGAGGTGCAACAAGAAACATAATAGGATCATTAAAATTAAAAGGGTTCATCCTTTCAGGAGATGGAATGTGATCAGCATACACAATAAAATAAACTTACTAGACTATATTTTCATTTTTGACTCAAAATTAGGTACAATTCAATAGTCACTGGATATTGGTAGGGACATGTCCCTACTGGCCCTACTAAATTCGACACCTTTGTTATTCAATAAGAAACACATTTATAGAATATTATTTTCTATGATTGTGTTATTTATTTTTGTTAGGGTTTTTTTTGCATTTATTTGATCTTTTTTGGTGGTTTTTTTTGCCTAGTCGATAAAACATCTGTCATCTCCTGTTCTCTCATTACACGGAGATCTTACCAGCTCAGTTGTCAGGAGTCTGAGGACTGACTGACGGACAATTTATTTTATTTTGGTGAGGGTGCACATGCACTCTGTTCACATTCATCAGTGAATATGTACACGTGTGAGTTTTAACTGACGTGTATGAATATGCCGTCTTGCAGTTCCTCTTCTGTCAGCAGATGTGGACACACACTCAGGGACCTGCTGTCATACTAAAAACATTCATCGTGTGTGTGTGTGTGTAATAACACAGAGTACACACGCAGCCATGAATTTTATGTATATGACATTTTGCTGTGAAGAAAAGCGACTGTGAATCAGAGTGAAAGTAAACGTATGTGCAGCTGCGTGCGTTGGTTTTAGATTGTGAGCATTCTGTAAAGAAACTGTACCTTCCTAACGAGATGAGTTTCATTTTTTTATTCATGATGGTTTAGTTAATTTACTAGATGTTAGCCAGGCAGCCCTTTTTTGAGGGGGTGGAAGGCTACTGCTGTGCAGGTTAGAAATTCATGTTTGCAGAGGTTGGTGCTTGACATGTAAAGCTACACATGTTCCAGATGATTCCAATCCACCAAGACCAGCCCAGGAAGGTGGATAAATGGGGGGGGGGGATAACCTGAGTGTTGATGATGACGATAGAAAAAGTAACAGAACTCAGCATAGTTACTAACTATGTAAACTATACGTCACACAAAACTGCGCAAAATGCATACATACATACATAACAATACGTAACACAAATGGCTTCAGTGGGGATGGATCTGATCCTCCAATATTCTCCCCAATTGTAACTTCACAATCAACAGTCTAGTGGGTGGAGGGCAGATGATTAGATAACAAAATACATCTAGTCAAGGTCTGGCTTGATGGTGGCATTTAGAGCAAAATCATGAGGGTGTCAAAGTCAATATTCAAAGTGAGAATATGTTCAGCAAATGTTGGCATTTACAGCAATCAGGGTTAGAAGATCCAGTCCTTCAAAAATGTAAAGTTTTGGCTAATGATAGTGCTAGACAACCAGGGTCACAGGGTCGCCAACATAAATCAATATTTGGAAAGCAGGGAAAGGACTGTGACCACACTGTGAACCAAACGGTGGCTTTTATAAAACTTTCACCTCCTGTTCGCCAGCCGCCGCAGCAGCAGCAGCAGAGCAGCAGATATGAGGAGAAAGTAGGTTAGAAAACTAGGCTGCGGGCGAGCTGAGTGATGAAACAGGAGAGACACTGTTCGACCCGAAGTTATGATGTGATGACTATTTCTGGACCTAAAAGTGAAGAAGACTATTCTCAGAAAGGGACTCACTCAGTTTAAACTTGTGGTGAAGTGACTGTTTGATTAATGGGTTGATCAACAAGTATTTAGATAATTTTTATTTATTTACATGTCAAGCAAGTATTAAACAGTTGGTACTAAAATGATCAGATTTGATTGAAAAGAGAATATCTTTTAGTTTTGGCCTGCTGAACAAACCAAGCTGTTTGAAAACATCCCGCTGAGAACTTGTGTTGCGTTTCTTTCTGTATAACATTTTATAGGCTAAACCCTGCTTTGAGCTAAATGCTAACATCAGGAAAAACTTAAAAGTCACAAGTGATTACAGTTAATTCTCTGGACACAAAATTACAAAATTTCCTGGCAATCCACCCAATAATTGTTGAACCTAAGTGGTGAACCAACAGGCTGATAGTTGAAACCTAACATGTCTATAAAGATTGACTACAAGGTTAAGTTCAGTTTAAAGCCAACATTCTTGTAACTGAAAGCAAGGATGGTTCCCTCTGTGTGGCCACACCTACGGCTCAGGTGATGCAGATTAGGGGACATTATATCGTGAAATAATGAGATGCTTTAGAGCAGAGGCAGGCCTACTCTGGGGGGGGCTCCAAACAGTTTTGGAGGAGACTTGGTAAATTAAAGTGGGGAAAAAAGTATTAAATTAGTTATCAAAAGCAGATCACATAGTACAGCCTGCGTGTGTGTGATTTTGTTAGAGAGATTCTTAATGATTATAGTGGTTTTGGGGAAGTTCACTAAATGTATTTGGTGTAGTCTGAAGTTATGTCAAACAGTAATATTTTCTTGGCTCACTTATTGAGTTTCTATGGGATTAAATAGCATCATCATGATCCCATGGGTATCCAGGAACTGAGCAAAACCAATGCTGCGTTCCATGTAACTCGGAACTGGGAAATTTCCGACCTCCAACCAGGAAAACTACCCTGGAACGCCACCTGAAGTCGGAAGTCCTACTTATGAACTCGGAGAAAAAAATATGTCCCCCAACTTCACAAGTAGCAGCTGAATTATGTCACAAAACAATGTCAGCGCCCATGGATGCACACATTGTAAATGGTAAACCATAAACTAAAAGGCAACAAAACGTATATTTGCATGTATTTAAATTAAAATAATACATACGGTCATTTAGTAAAACCTGTTCTGCATGTACATTAATGTAGAAATATGTTAGGCCTATTAGGTAGCTGGCTACAGTAAAGAATCTCATGAAGTCATCTTCTGTGCATAAAATGCCAAAACATTAGGAAGTGCAACCTACAACATTGACTGACTTGAGGGTTACCAACTGATGTAGGGGTACACAGAACTAGTAAAGTAGGCTATAGGCTATTTATGTCAGTTGTTGCAGTTAAGCTGCCATCTTTTTAATTAACCCCTAAAACGCTGCTGAGGGTGCAACTGTGTGCACACTTTGTCACGGTCAGCCCTGGTTTTCGTTCACTTTCGGCGTCATGCACCACCAATGCACCTGGAACACTTTGAGGTCGGAGGTTTCAACTGGGAAATAACCCAATTCTGACCGGTCTTGAACGCGGTATAAGCAAGTAAACTAACGCCGTGTGTGGGGGGGCTCCTTTTTCCAAGCTTTGTTTGAAGGGAGACCCCAAGTCTCAGACTTTCTAACCTCTGCTCTAGAGCCAAAGTTAGCTCTGATTGAAGTAAAACACAGGATTTAAATGCTACTTTCTGCATGTGAACAAGCTGTAGCACTCACAAGTCTGAACATGTTTTAGGTAACTTAGTCACACACACACACACACACACACACACACACACACACACACACACACACACACACACACACACACACACACACACGGCTGACATTCTTGTTCTGGAAGATGAAGACCAGTTGAACCTTGTGGTCGACCTGCATTGTACAGTGCGTGCTCCTCCTCTATGAAAGAGTATCACTAGTGTGAGTTAACTTTGGTTTCTATGGTTACCTGCAGTCTGTATACCCTGAGCATTGATTTAGGATGATGGTTTGACTGTGTCGTGTTGTGGGACATCACCTCTATATCAGGCCTGGCGAGCAGCAGTGAGAAGTTGATGCTGTCCTCTCGGCTCAAAATGGCCACCGCTTCCTCTCTGTTCTGAATATCCACTCCGTTAATCTAGAGGGGATGAGGCGAGGTACAAAGATCGGTTACTTTATATTCATTTATAAAAACCGCAGCCATTGTTCATTACTCAGTGTAACTTACTCTACATTTCAAGTAGCCCCTATTTAAAAACAAGATATCTTTGTGTGGTTCATCATTGGTGATAAATGATCCAAACATCCCGTGAGGTGCGGCGAGTGTTCCTCTACTGCCACTACACAATTTTGGATTTATTCACTCACATTAGAAACATTTACTAAAAGCTTTTTCTTTTTACATGTTTATTTACAGCATTATATGTTGAAATTGGCAATATATTAACTTATTGGGAGAAAACTGGTAGATCTATGCAAAATTGGGCGTAAGATCCTCGTTTCGCTGCGAAGCTTCGACTCTGAGATTGACATTCAAATCAGGCTCTACCCAAGTAATGCAAAGTATAATGTTATTTGCAGTACTAACACAGTCCCTATAATCTTGCTACTATAAGGTATAGCATTTTGAGTAACCTGAAATTGTGTTATATTTGATTAAATATAGGAGAGAAAAAATGGTACGAACAGTAAATTCTCTTTTCATGTCTCACTTAAACACCTGTGATTTATTTACAGATGTGTGTGTTGTGTTAAACGCATAAGAAGAATAGAATAAAATAGAAAATAAGACTTCAAAACATGATTATAAAATGTATGAACCATGTCACAGTTTGTTATTATTTGGTTGTACTGTATGTGATGACATCTATCCAAAAGCAGCTGCTGGTCTATTCTTTTCACATTTCAACGTCACCTTCCCTGACGCTGCTTTCACGAGGTCGTCAGTCGAAGGGCCAGGGGATAATGAACAAAGAAATGTCAGGAAGGTAAATTTATTCACACTCGTTTTTCATTGTCAAGCTCTCTCAGAAAGGACATTGAACATGTGGGGCTGTAGCTTTAGAGCGGAAACGAAAACATTGTTTTAACAGGATACAGGAAAAACTCCCGCAGACGGCTCCACTTGCTAAGTAAAAAAACAGTGAATGGCACCTTAAGAGCTTAAGAGAATGGAACACTATTGATCACCGGCAATTACATAGCTCGTAATGATAACAAATAAATGTTTGTACTGTAATCCTTGTTGAAAGATTTACAGGGAGCTTTCCAGTTCCGCAAGCCTCATTTAGAAGATTTTCAACTTTATCTAATATCTTCATGATGGGGTGGCGATGATGCAGTTGTTAAGACCCGTGCCTTTGGTGTGAGAGACACGGTTTCGATTCCCAATGTGACCCAATCTGAGCAATCTGACACTTAACCCCCTAGTTGCTCCACAGGTGCGTGACTTCTAGCAATAATAAGTGTATCACTGTGTATCATCCTCCTCTTATTTTGTGTAGGAAATGAGCATGTTCAGTTTCTTTTATTGTTCTATTCTTTCCTGTTTATGATGTCTGTCTTGCTGGAGGCTGTATCAGTGTAAGTCATCTGTCCTCGGACACTCTCAAATATATCTTTGTAGAGCAGTGTCCTCTCTCTTGTTGGTCTGGTGATTTGTCACCTGCATCCATTTGAGTGGAACAGTGAGTTGGTAACACAGGGTGACAACGTTGTCTCACCCTCCATCTCTCTTTCTGTCTATTTTTAGGACAGCAGTAACTGGGCTGCTGACAGCTCTCTCTGATTGGACAAGGCTGTCCCGGGGGTTCCAAGTATAAATTTACATAGTTTGATTTGAAACTATTTTTAACCCTCATAGAGCCAGCTAATTTTGCAGAGGACAACTTTGTATTTTCAATCTGCAGGAAATGTATTTAACGTATCCCTGAAGGTCAAAATTCTATATTTATGAATACAGAGATTTTTCTTTGACCTGAGGGTGAAGTAAAAGGTAAAGTTAGAATCAAAATGATTTGACCTCTGGAGTGCATGAGTGTGATCCGTAAATGTTAAAGAAATCTGTTTTGTTAAGTTTGATATTTGGTGACCAGAGAGAAAATGTTTAGAGTTTAGAGTCAGACAGAACCTACCAAAAAAAAACAAGATACAACCTCGAAAAGGTTCTGGAGATCTTACCTTGTTTGGCATGTTGTTACTAGTTTATCTACAACACAGATTACTCGAAACGCCATCCTCTGAATACCACTGAGTTGTGGTTGAATGCTCCAAGAAAAGAAGCTAGTAAGTTGACTTGAGTTTAGATTTTCGTTTTATTAGCTCAACTTTAAATTGAACTGTTTCTCTAACCTACAACCATAATCCAGCTACAATAGTTAGGAAGGGCATTTTAACAATTTAAGTGAAAAGATTTGTGCAACCAGACAAATGTCCAGATCTCTGGATGGGTCAATGGTCCCTATCAAGCAGAACAGAGTGTAAGTTAGTGTTTGTGTACCTGTAGTATTCGGTCACCCTCTCTGATGCGTCCATTTTTGGCTGCGATGCTGTTTGGATTAACCTAAAGTGATAGTGGGAGAAAGAGAGAGAGAGAGAAACAAACCACTTAAGAAATTGATGAACAAATAAATTACCTCATGAATTAAGAAACAAATTCATTAATAGTGACTGAATTAATGCATGAATGATTAAATTGGTACAAGTTGGCTGACTGAATGGAAAGAGAGTGACTAATTGGTTGGATGAATGATTCAAAGGAGAAGATAATGAATAAAGTGATTACTGGATGGAAGTAATAAATAAATGATAAGATAATAAAATATATGTATGAACATCCGTTCTCATTCCCAGGTCATCAAATAACGACACTGGTTGGTCCAATCCTTGGTGTCTCATACAGACGCACATGGTATTAGCATCTCTGTGAGGCAACCATTTAACACGTGGCTAACGTTGTGAAACGGGCCTAATTATTGGTTTAATTAGTTTTAGGCACCAAATGTACTTGGTTAGGTTTAGAAAAAGATCATGGTTTGGGATAAAATGAGTGCTTCACTTTACTTTGTGATAGGTGATTGCACAGTGGATAAGATAAGATAAGCCTTTGGTGTGGGAGACCCAGGTTGAATTCCCACTGTGACACCGATGTGTCTCTGAGCAAGATATTTAACCCCTAGTTGCTCCAGAGGCGTGTTACCTCTGACACGGCAATTGTAAGTTGCTCTAGATAAAACGGTCAGCTTAATTAAATGTTTACAGCGTTATTTAACTTTAAATAAGTAAACTGGTTTTGGTTTCACACGGGACACAAACCCCAGTCTCCTGTGTGAAAGTCCAAAGTGTTCCATCCACCCCGACCACCTCCCTACATCGACTTTATATGACCTAAAAAGGCTTTCTGGCAGCCCGGTGCGCCTCGTATAGACGCCAAAGAGTACCTTGTGCGTCCTGGGAACCTGGGAATGGGAACTTTTGAAGCTGAAGGAAGAGAAAGGTGAGCGAGTCATGTGAATAAATAAGCTGTGTTTATGCATCATTAACAGACTTTAATGCATTTTATTTGCAATCAAACCAGTGAAAAGATAAATGAGTCAGTTGGAGGTTAAATGAACGGGTGAATAAACTCTGGAGAGGAGAAAGAGTAGGATGAAGACATCACCTCTCCAACATAAATCCCAAGATCCTCCTCGTCTTCCGTCCTGTAGCAGACTGTCAGACCCAACTTCTCCTGCTGACTGGATTTGTACAGCTCCACCTCCTGGAGGAACAAGGGGAGGAAGACTGATTGACCGTCTGAGCTGGTCTGTAGGTGGTCTTCAGACCAGAATGCGGCACAGCAAAGTTCACCTCAGGAAATGGGCGATGGTTGAGGCATGGCGACGAGGTACAAGACTACTCGCAGGGCTAGATTGTGAACTACTGTAGCTGACGGGTTGGTGGACACAGTCTTTGTATGGTTTTTTTTTCCAGTCTTTGTAGGTTGCAGCTATTATTCAGCTCTGTCCTAAGCTTTAGAACAAATACTTAATAAATCCTAGGAGATCAGAGACCATCCCATCAAAGTCCAGTTTGGACCATCATTGCTGAAACCTCCTTTATATGGTTTTAGCTGAAGGGCATCGACAGAGGAAAGTCGGTGATTTAGGGAGGAAATGAGGGATGTAACAAAAGGAAAAAAGACATCAAGACATTAGAAAGTAATTTAGGGGGGGGGGGTATAATGATGGTGGAGATTGGGAAAACTAATGAGGGCGGAGAGAGTAGAAGTGATTTAGGGAGAACAGAAAGTCTCATTGGTATATGAGAAAGACAGAGCAAGAACGTTTCCACTTTGCTGACTTCTTTAATGACTAAATTGCCGTTTGCCTCAGGAAACAGCAGTGAACCAATGTAGCAGAAACAGAAGAAGTGCCACTCAGCCAAACGGAGTGGTCCATTAGGCTTTTGTAAACTGAACTTTTCAGTGGCTAAGACCAGTCTGACCATCACTCATCCTGCTCTTCTCCAACAGACAGCTTGTAGAAGTCAGTTTGTTTCAGTAACATGTTTGAGACGGAGTGATTTTCCAGCACCAGCAAAAATATCTGGATTTCCCTTTTATTTCCTCCTTCCATTCCTTTTCCGTCCTCCAGGTCTCATTTCTTTGATTCCTTGCTCAGTTCTTTGTCCGTGTACGTCTTCCTTTCCTCCCTCTCCGTCTTTTCTACCTTCTTTTCATTGATCTCTCATTTTTCCTTCACTTTGTCCTCATATCCTCCCTCCCTTTCTTTAATACCTCTTCATTCAATTTTACACTTCAATTATTTATCCCCTCATACTTCCAGCAGAATCCCATTTTGCTTTTCCATTTCTTTCCTCATCCTTCTTCTTCTTCCTTCTCCTCTAACCTTTTTTTTTCATTTCTTTGATATTTTCATCCCCAAATTAACCAATCCCTCAACCTAACCAGACATTTTCTAGCATAGCTGTTTATCTTTTGTACTGAAGATTCAACCAGGTGAGTTTATTGCTATAGGAGAGCTTCAGTCCCGTCTATCCGAAAATAATGGGATTTTTAACCAGGGACACCGAAACAGTTCCTCAGAATTTGAAAATGAAGCTTTGAGTGTTGGTTGTGCACCTAAAGAGTGATCCACTATGGGGCCAATGCAACTGTGTTGATAAAAATTTAAACACATCTGCTCCATGAAATGAAACGAGGTAGACAGCAAATTTCCCAGCAAGTCAGCAACCAGATTTTGTCGTATTTTGTTCATTTTTGTAGGGACTTCAAATATGCTGAACTACTAAAATGAGCCTCCCTCTCTTGCATTTACATTATATGGGTGAGAACCCCCCTCCAAAAAAAAAAATAGCTCATCAATTTGTGCAACAAAACAGACTTTCCTCTCTGAGCACGTCTGTTGTCGTAGAGCGAAAGTGAAGAACCACAGCTGGCTGCCCTGCTTAGTTTATATTCCAGATGTATTCATCAGCTAAATTACTTGCACCTGTCTTTGTCTTATGCATAGAGTCACAGATGCGCAGCTGGGGATGGCACTGGTTTCTCTCAGGTCTTAAAGCTCATTACAAGGGTTAAGTACTTGAAAATGGGAGACAGGCTGACAACCAACTGTGTTATTGAATGAAATTTGCCAGACATTTTCTTTTTATTAATGACAATTGGTTGCTGGTGATCCAGCAGCAGAGTTCTCACCTCATACTCCAGGTCTTCCTGCCTGTCCACCTCATGGTTAGAAACGTCAAAGTAGTCATCGGGGTCATTGTACTCAAAGACACAGCTGAGGGAAGGAGGAAGAGATGGGGAAGACAGAAAAATCAATACACATCATATCTAACATCATTGATTTTTCATGTCTAGAGACTTGTCAAAGCCAAAAACACAACGGGTCAGGACATACAACTCATTGATCCCATATGGTCCCACGAGGTGAGGGAGGGGAGGAGAGGGCGGAGGTGGTGGAGGGGAGGAGGTGCCGCCTCCCCGGTCATGGTGGTGGTGATGACCTCTGTTCCTCCCCAGCGTCAAGATGTTCTGGAAACTGATGTCCGTCTGCGTTGCGTTGTCGATGCAGTCGGGAATTGCCACCATGGCAACGGAGTAGATGGAGCTGCTGCCGGTGCCATTACCGCTGCACACTAACGTACCTGAGAAGAGGAGGAGGGTCGGAAATTTAAACGGTGAAATAACAAAATACTGATGAACAGATTTAAACACACATTTCCTGTTTCGGTGTATCTTCAGCTGGCTCTGACAGTCCTGCTGGCATAGAGTGGATAGACGTAATGACAACAGCACACAATGTCAGACAGGCATTCATTCAGTTGTTCACAAGAAAGGTGACAAAAATGGCTTAATAAAGGTGACAAAAATGGCTTAATAAAAAATTAAAAACTCTGCCTACTTTTACAGCTGGACACACCTGACAAATTATTGTGTGGGTGTGAAAGTCAGCTTGTGAGGGAAGGAGGTTTCAGAGGCTGTTTGACTTCCCGTGAAGCATACTGAGGCCTTTACAGTTCAGAGTCCTCCTTTGTTTAACTTTCACTGGCAGGTTCAGCCAGTAGAAACAATGACGCACTGAGTTGGAAATGGAAAAGCCATCATTCTAACAGAGCGGCGTCACCTTGTTTTGGTCAGCATCAAATTACAAGACTACCAAACCGGTGACCACACCTTAACACAATACAGCTGGACTTTGTTCTGATAGGCTTCCCCTCTAGTTCGTCCTGTTCAGCACAGTTGAAGTATTTGACGTTTAAGCTGATGCCGACTGATTATATGTTCCAGTAGGACCAGGACTTCAGTTAGTTAAAGCAGCATTTTGTAGTATTATTATCTTAAAATAACTCTGTCCTAGCCACTCCAGCCCGGAGCGCCTGGTGTTGTAGCACTGGAGCCTGGGCAGGAAACCTATTAGCTGGCTTGCTGTGTCTTGTGTTGCTGCACTTGCTTGATATTTGGCTGTATTTGCAAAGTTGGCATCTTGCTGGTTACATCACTAATGTAATCATAACCAAATGCACATGTAGCAGCTGTCCTTATTGACGGCAGCTGTGAATTACACTTTGAATTGTAGGTGCGCCAAATCGCACAAAATACTAAATCTTACATAATGTTGATTTTAAAAAATCTGTGTTCAACTTACAATATAATTCATCAATAATATCATGAAGACCTGTGCAAGATCAGATCTTCAGTAATTTATGTAAAATATGAGACCTAATACCTATACCTATGTGCCTGTAGTGAAAATAAACCAATAAGACACTCGAGAAAATCAAAGTAGATGGAAGCCGCCTTTTGTGTGTATATATTTTTATCTTGAGAACTGTTTGCTTGAATAAATGAAGGAGAAAAAAATCACAGGGTAGGAGAGGACAGATGGCATGTGACTGATATTGAAACAGAATTATAAAATGCTGCAGTTACATCTGAAAAGATGGTAAGAGTCAATTATTTGAGAGAAAAAAGATAAGAGGAAGTGTCAGGAGATAAAATAAGGGGAAAAGATGAAAGAGATGTCAAATTGTGACAAGGAAGAGGGCGCAACATGAGCTGAAACTAGATGGGACTAAGATAAATCAGATACATTTATTAGATGAGATGTAATGAGGCAAGAACGTGGGAAACACAAGAAAGAGGATAAAGCGAGGTTTGTTGGAAGTAATAAAGAGAGAAGATATTAAAAGATGAGACGAAAAAAGACAAGACAGGAAAAAGAGGATTCCCATCTGACAGCAGCTCAAAGTTTCAAAGAGAGCAGCAAAGAAAGAATTACCACCTGTGTGAAATGAAAGGAGGTAAAAGCACTGAATGATAAAATATATGCTCATGCATGTTTCTGATGTTTTGTAAGCGGGACATCGTTTTACCTTTCCTCCTGTGACTCTTGCGGACCGACCCGGGTTGGTGCAAAGGCTCCTGGGAGTTTTGTGGTCTGTCTAGCGGGAGTTGAGAGGGCCTCCGTCCTCTGACCTGAAGAGGGGATGAGGTTTACAGCATGTAATTTATAGAGCATAATAAATGAGTAAATAAAGAATAAATACAATTCATATGGAGAAATAAAAATGTGCATCCACCATGGCTAAATGAAGCACAAGTCAGTAAATTTTGCAAGTCGCAGTACTTATTGCATTCCTGCTGATCCTTACTGGAAGGCCGAGCTCTGATTGGAGCATCCAGAACAGACACATTATGAATATAATATTATGTATTATGTCTTTCCAGTTGCTGAGTTGAGGATGCATATGCACGTACATGCACACGCAGGACAAACTATCCTGATCAAAAGGTGGCGGTAACAGGTCAAGGTATGCTGCAATGTGCCAGGAAAGAAGAAGAATAAGCTAATAAAGACGGATGTAAACAATTCTAGATTTAAAATACTTATTCTACCTTAATGTTAGCTGCGGCCAGATGCACTGATAGATGAGGACAAAACGTAGGAGGAAAAATGCACCTGAAGAACAGAAGTGATGATCAATGATTCAAGACAGATTTCAGAAATCCGGCACCTGATGAATATGAAAACTGAAGGTAAAACTGAGAAGAAAATAATTCAAGGACAAAGGATGAATAATAATGAATCAAGGTTGCTGCATAATTCAGAGTATCTGGGGGTCTCTATTGTTTGAGATAATAAATCAACCTTAATCAGCTTATTTCTGAAATGCTCGCGGAGTTTTGTTTCAGGGAAGTTTGTAAAGCTGCAACATTCAACTTTTAACAGAAATCTGGAAAATGTGAATCAACCTTTTGCTAATTTCCAAACTAGGAGCTAGGGTTTCATGGGTTTCCCTAAAAGAATCAGAATTAGATCAGTCAGAGTTTCGCCATTATCAAAGTAAACTGTCAAAGCATATCTGACACCAGTTATTTAACTTTCGCTTAACATATTCTTCTGTGGTGTTGGTACCAGTTAGGATATTGTGATTTTATTCTACATGGCTTTCAAAACATGAGGGACTGCACTGTCTCATGCTTAGTCACCCTGATGAAGAGACTTAATGTACTCTTGTTGCATTCTCGCTTCCTTATACAACTCATCCACATCTATGGTCCCATCCGGGGGAAGTTATTATCATCACTTCCCGCTGTGCTGAGCTTGGTGACAACGCCCCAGCAAAGTTGCCAGACCTCAACAATCTACATATTTAAAATTGACATAACAATTACCTCCACCTGAGTTAACAAGCTGAAAGTAATATTGCTTTAAAAATTTTTTTACAGTATATGTTTTCTTTACTGGTGTTTTTACGGTCCAGAATGATCCATGAACCTCAGCTTTTAAGTCAACATGGACAAGAAGTCCTTGAAGTGGTCAAAAAAACAATTTTTAAAGACAACTGGGCAATTTCCGTCTGCTGGCAAAGACTAAGGGCCTGATTTACTAAAGGTTTGCAAGAGTAAAAATGTCTGCAAACTTGATATCACCAGCAAATTAACACATAAGCTGATCTACTAACGATGTGCTCGCAGAATGACGTCTTCCAAAAGTGCAAGACAGCTCCTGTTGTTCATTTAGTACTTTTGCCTTAATGAATATGCAATTTGGGGCGTTTCAGTTTTATTGTGCAAAGTAATGTGGAGGGCAACATGCAAAAACATTTATTTATTTACTACACGCAATGGCATCTACCAATCCTAAACGCAATTTCATGTACAACAGCATCTGTATTTAGTACGTTTGAAAGGAAGGTGCAAACCGCTAAGTGTTGTGCAGAGATGGCTGCTGTTCACGGAGCGACCGGGCACCGGGGCTGGACTGGTAATCTGGCACACCGGGCAAATGCTCAGTGGGCCGAAGCACCTTTGGGGCCTGTGCAACTTAAATGAAGTATTTATATAAGTGTTTTTAAAAATGCTCGGCCCATAAAGACTAGGCTTAAGACTTTCCTCTTTGATAAAGCTTATAGTTAGGGCTGGCTCAGGTGAGTCCTGAACCATCCCTTAGTTATGCTGCTATAGGATTAGACTGCCGGGGGATTTCCCATGATGCACTGAGCTCCTCTTTCCTCTGACTCTCCATGGCGGAAACCATTAAAACATTTTATTCGGGGTGTTAGTAAATCCAGCCCTTAGTGTAAATGTGATATCTATTTATTTTTATTAACTGTGCAAGATGTGAATTGTTTAATATTCCACTTTAGTGTTTTCTTACATTTGAGAAATACGTTGATATGTTGGACAGTTATACTTTGGTCAAGTCAACTACAGTGAGCATCAAGGGACCAAGCGCAGATAGCTTTAAATGTAGATGTGAACATATGAAAGAGAACTAAGATGTTGCTCAGAAAGACTATGCACACTTATCAAACCTTCCTCAGATAAATCAGTGATTAAAAGCTGTATAGGTGACAGTCTGGGAGGAAATATTCTCTATCTATCATCAGTTTTATGGGAGTGGAGCCTTATTAAAGATGACTGATAGGAGGCGGATGGAGAGATGTAGGACAGGAGAGGCAGTGGAGAGGAAGAAAAGTCTGTCATGGAGGAGGATCATTGAAAGCTGACAGATAGCATCATCCAAGTGTGTCCTACCTTTACGTTTCCATGTCTGTCCATTGGCCGCAGGGAGTCGAAGGCTTTTTGCTAATGAGAGAGAGAGGGAGACAGAGATAGATGGCATTGCCCCAAGATAGTCCAGAGGAGAATAAAGCCAAGGAGAAAGAGAACAGTGAGACAAATACAGAAACAAGAGCGACATGAACATTGAAAACATTATATCTTTTTGTATTTGTTTGTTTGCATTGCCATGATAGAGAATTCAAAGTGTTGGTGTATGGGCTCATATTGTTCATTGTCTTGGTTGTAATTTAGGATTTCTGAAAGAAAATCAATTAACTATGGCAGATATTTACAGGATTAAGATATGAGACTTAAAATCAAAACATGAAAATTAGTAATGTAATGAAAATCGTTATTGTTTTGCCAGAAAAAGTCAAATCATGTAATTTAAACAAAAAATGTAAGGCTCATTTTGAAACTGAAGATATGGGTAACAAGTCTGTGAACTGTGGGATAAAAGGAAGATTGTGATTGTGATTTTCATGACCTCTCCTAGTTAGCAGTTTAGCTCCACCCAAATTCAGCCTTAGTGAAAGTCTAATCAGCCTGAATTGAAAACAAACCTGTGTGTAAATGTCAGAAGATAATAGAAACAAGAGGAGTCCAACATTATATGAAGTAAAACATTCCTATTTGCGAATGGAAATGAAAACCGTGTCTCCAGCTTTGTGTGTGTGATAAGATGAAGACGCTGCAAAATCTCTTCTTCTTATGAGTGTCTGCTCGGATGTTGTGATAATTCAAATAAAACTACAAGAACGTCAAGGATTACGAAGTAAAGTCCAGGAAAAATTCTCATTTTGGTCCTTTACGTAAAAGATATCAAAGATACAAGAGTCCAGGAGACTAGGTGGCATCACACCACCAACAATCCAACAGAATAAAATGGTCATTGTCGGCGTCAGGAAAGTCAATTATACAAATGTTTTACATAAATCCTAATTTGATGTTCTTAAAAAGCAATGAGTTCCCCCTACCCTAAGAAAGAGGTCATTTCATCACATTTTACTGCTGACTGCTTTTTAAATAGATTTTTCACACCATGTTACTAATTGATGAGCACACAAGGGGCATGTCAAAACCAACCTAGTGGGCTTTCTCTAACCCCTGGTTCATTCCCACCTCAATCAACAGCTCATAACTAGCTTACAAACAACGAGCCGCCAGCAACACACATTAGCATAAGTAATATAGCTGTAAGCACAACTGAGTGTGTTCGGGCATCACTCGGGGCAAAATGAAAAGAAACACCTGCTTGCAAATGAGAATGGAGGTAATTATTTATGGATTCAGAGTTTCTACGTGTGTGTCTGTGTGTGTGTGTGTGTGTGTGTGTGTGTGTGTGCACTGTAATGTTGTTAATACTGTGTGTGTCCTTTCTCAGATTTCCAAGCATGCTGGAATCGTCACTTGTGAAGTGAATGTCTGCAGACGTACACACGTACCACACCCACATGCAGGAGGCCGCACGCTAACCTGCTACTTCCAGGTGACGCCCACACACACACACACACACACACACACACACACCAGCTCATGAATACTTGCATGGCTGCACACAGACACACAGCTCTGTGAAACACACCTCGCCTCCTCCCTGCCTTTGTTTCAGAGCTGATTGTTATGCATTACATGTCCTCTGCAGGTTGGCTGGCTGTGTGTGTGTGTCAGTGAACATAAGGCCTAAGCCAGTCAATACCGACTCAATAACCACAATCATCTATCAGACCTGTTGTGGTTTGGTCACTGATTGTGTTTCATCTGCCATTAAAGGGGTCGGCCTTGACTTTCCACCCTGACAAAACCCATTTCTCTGGGAGACGTGTGTTTGCTTTTGAGTGTGTTGAACGCACGCATTTGATGGCTGTTTTTTAAATAGTAGAAAAACATCAGAGCCTTTGTGGGCGGGGCTAAAGTTAAGCGTAAGTTAAAGGTGGTGTAAGTGATTCTGAAGAAATCAAACACCATGACAAATACTATGATACAGAGTGAACAATCACACAGCATGTCATGTAATTAACATTAGCTAAGTTGTGGGTTAGCGTACTGTGGATACAGTTGCTGCTGCAAAGCGAACATGAAGCAAACATGCAGATAGGACAGGACTGTCCCACAGCCAGCACAGCAGCTCCAGACAGCGATACTGTCCTGCTGGCTAAAATCACAACAACAGCATGTCTTTGTGAACTAGAAAGTAAGCTGAATGTCTGTGGGCAAGTCATTTAACGTTACCTGACACACAAATCACGGCGTAGTAGTAGTGTTGTGTGGCTAGGCGTGGGCCAGTTTGTTTGTTCCACATTTTACACAGTCAGTGCTGTGGACAAACACCGGGTTCGTTTCAGCCCACACATGTCGGACAGCTAGGGGACATGAGGATTAGAATTGCTTAACCCTCCTTTAAAATGACAATCAAAGTGGCAAAACTTCAAGCAAAGTCTGTTTTTTTTTACTTTTATTTCAAATACATGAGATTTTTAATAAAGATTTATTTCATTTTAAAATATTTCACAGCGTCGATACTTTTCCAGTATTTAACAGCTAGCTTTAATTGATGTTTACACTCGGTTAGTGGTTGTGAGTATCTGTGCTGAGATAATAGACTGGCAGGTAGATGGTTTAATGGGTGGGACTGGCAGATTTGAATATTCAGTACCCCAGTATTATTGCTTTTTGTTTGTCTGTGTGGATTTGGCAGTTGACTGTGAATGTGTGATTATTCCTGTGCATGATAATTACAACATTCTCCGGCTGCGCTCCTCCTCATTATACTGGTGTGTATGTGTGGTTATAGGGGCTGACTGGGCCTCAGCCACATTAGCCCGACAGAAAACACAGCTGAAGTGTGAAATTAATAACGGAACGGGAGAAAAGGGCTGACTGCACTCTTTTGTTGTCTTCTATACAAGATCTTGTTTCATCTAACGGATCTTTGTGTTTGGCTGGACGGAACAAATCTCAATTAGAAGCCTGTTGTGTTTTATCCCAGTTAAAATGGATTATTGATCATTGTCAACAGTTAGTGACCACAGATGCACTCATCAGTTCTTCATTTGATGTTATGTAGTATCAAGAGGCTAGTCAGCAATTTACTTTAAAAATGGTGTTAGCTTGAACTGAGACTTTATTACTGGTGGGATATTGATTGTTAGCAGGCAGTGTTGGCATTCTGTGCCTTCATTATGTTCCAAAATACTTCAGTCAGTATTGACTAATAATGCATGTGGTTTGTCTTCTAATCCATAGATCCTGCAGCTTCAGTGTCTCAGGGGAGAATTGAAAGAAATCAAACATGTTAATGAAACAGTAAACATTTTCTTTATTACCAGCCTATTACAGCCCAAAGTGCTGGTAGCCAATTAATTTAGCTATTCTGAACCACTCAAGCGGTGCTTGGTCAAAACTGAAATATCCCAACTACTATTGGATAGATTGCCATGATATTCTCTACAGACATCCGTCGTTCCCAAACAATGAATCCCTTACTGCTAGTGTAGATCCGCTGTCTGGCTAAACTGAAATTACTTTGCTGATCTCTCAACATTTCTCTGGTGCCATCATGAGATCAATTTAAATTTGCAATACTTTGTTTATGACCAAATATCTTTAAAACTGATTACATCTCCACCAGCCTCTGCTGTATTTTGTGTTTAGTGTTGAAGGGTAAATGCTAACATGCTAAGCTAAAAAGGAGACCCTGGTAAACATTATACCTGCTAAATATCAAGATGTTCTCATGCATTTAATTCAAAGCACTGCTGTGCCAAAGTATAATATATCATATATATAATAAAAGTTTATTTTTCTAAGGCAGGGTTCAGGATAGTGAAAGATGTTTTAAATAAAGAAACAGAAATTGATTACTGGTTTTTGACAAATATTGTTGGATGTAACTTGTGCAGAATCGTATAATAGGACAGTGATTCCCATAAATACTGGACTATTTAGCAGATAAGCAGGTTAACATTCTTACAGTTACATGAATTAACTTCTTACTTGTTTTGTGTAATCCAATATTTTATTTTGTATGAGGCTTCATCCACACTGCTACGTCTTTAAAACGGACCTTTTGCCACGTTTGCACCTCCCATCCAGACTAAATGGTAAAAACGAAGACCTAAAATGAGAAGTCTGAAAACGCTGCTGACCCCGTTTCATTTTCAGAAAGTCGGGTGCTGTACGGGGGACTTTAAAAACGATGACGCAGACGCTCACATTTGGCCTCCTGATTGGGTCTTATCAGTCATGCAAAGCAAAAACCCAATGCTACAGACAGAGTTTTGTTTTGGTATTTTTATTCAAATCTTTTGTACTGTACAAGTAACACTTATTCAATTGTACTGTGCATGTCACCATCTTTACTTTATGGACACCCAGTCTGTTTCCCACTGCCACAGCTGCTTTGGACTCCTATGTCACTTTCAGTAAAAGTTTCACCTCATTGTCGGTCCATGCAAAAGACATCTCTGATGTGGTTTTTCATCTGTCGCATTACTTTCTTCTTTTGCCAAATTTTATGCAACTGCGGTTTACACCAACAGGCGCATGCCCAGTGTACGTGAACGGCCTCTAGATGTACGTTTTTAGTCAGAGATCAGTTCTGAAACACAACGAAAACACTGTTGTGGTCGGATATTGTTTTCATTTTAAAACTCTGTTTTAAATAGTAACATTTAGCCTAAGTGTGTTGCACAAACCCATTCTCACTCTCCGACTTGTCACATATCGACGCATGGTCAGTTTGTGACGCACTGGGGATCCTTATAGCGTCATAGTTCAGTTTTTGACAGTAAAGGTAATGTATTGACAGTAAGTAGGAGGTTGGGGTGGATGGAGGGCCAAAAAGCAGGAGACCGGTTTCGTGTCCAGTGTGAAAAAAAAGTGCACCTTAAATATTTTTATTTAAGTAACGCAAGATACATAGATTGTGTAAGTTAGGCAAGTGACGTTAGTTAACCTACGTTAACTGACTTGCGTAGTTATTTTAACTCAAACCATGATGTTTTCTTAACCCTAAACAATAC